GTCTGATTGACAAGCAATTATATATACGTCTTTTCGTATATTATAGTGTATAAGTTGTGTTGGACTTTTAGTCGTCAGTGAAAGACAAATGCATAAGATTGTGGGATTTATGTGAACAAAGTCACATTTTATGTAATTTTGTGATGCCATAGGATGCTTGTGACAAACACATTGGTTTTAATGATCATATGCAGATCACTCTTTTTCAATTTCATTTGGCCTTGTTGGATTCCCATTGTTTCGATGTTGTGAGATGCCATGACAGTAAGTCGAGCATGAATGAGAAGAATCAATATCTCTTTGAGTTGGATTGTGATTTGATAAGATATACTGATCAAGCTCTGTGGAGTGTATCTTCGCCTTGCTTGAAAGATACACCAGATAAATTGATCGATACAGCCGTTCCAACTTCTAACAATAAGTACATACTTACTTTGAGTACCCTTAATTAATGCTACACCACTGGGTTGACACGAGCTGGCAGCCAGTCTCGTCTTCGAGACGTCTTGTTTTTGATTTACTTTAAGCGAGTCTGAGACGTTCCTAACCGGGACCGATCAAAACTCGTAACTATCACGAAAAAGTTACCGGAAGAGGAAACCAAACGAAGCTAGCCTTTGTACAGTTCCAGGGACGTGCTGAGTCCGACATATCCATGGATCGTTCTTTGGAAGACGGAATCGATGTGGTCCCGTATTGGGACGTCTCATGAACAGCGTGACTGATAGGATGCATTTGAGGAGGTCACCAAGGAGTATGAGTATGACCTACAAGAATTTCCCAGATGCAAAGGTTCAATCAAGGGGAGATGGATTGGGTATGGAGAAAATGGCCTTCTGGTTGGGCCAGGGCAGGAGATTTCCAAGGAAAAGAAAAAAGGATGCCATTGTCATTGAAGCTGTGGTATCAAAGAGTACTTGCATATGACATCTGGCATTCTTTGGTGTTCCTGGATCTCTGAATGATGTGAAAACGATGTGTTGAATCAAAGTTCTCGGTTTGAAAAATTTCGTAGTGGTAATGTTTTTATTCAAAGAACAAGCATTTTAAGAAATACTGACAAATAACCAAATAAGTATTGATGAGAGGATAAACTTTGAGGTCAATAACAATCAGTACAAATGTGGGTATTAACAGGACTCCGGAATGACAAAGGGTAGTCACAAAAAAAGTTCTTTTTGAGGGAACTAGAGCATCGGGGGCGGCCAGCCGCCCTCTCGGTAAACAATTTCGCATCGCTGGTGACGGGTTTCGTCGCGCTGACATCGCGTTGTAAATAGTAGAAAAATGATTACAACTGGTCTAGTCCGAAATAATGCGTTAATGCGCCGATCTCATAAGCC